GTATATATATATATATTTTTTTTTGAAATTATTTTTTTTAAGAGATATAAACATAAAGTAAGTGTTGGAAAGTTTCACACGATTTAAATGCTTGAGAGAATGGTAGAACAGCTGGAGTAGTGAACATGTACAGCAGAAATGGGCCGAATAAGTGAAATGAAGAGTGCAAAAGATTCTCAGGTAACACTAGAGAGGGATTAATGAACAGAGAGATGATGGTAGATTAGGAAAGACATGCAAGTTTATGGGAAAAAAAAAGTCTTTTTTATTTTTTTTTGCTTTTTTTTTGGTGTGAATGCTCAGGAGCGGTTCTAGGATTTCATCCTCTGGGGGTCTTAGCCCTTGATGAGAGTGTGTAGCAAGATGCCATTGCCTCTTTGTAAATCAGCACCACTATATTACTATAAAGTATGTCAAAAGTAGCCTACCACTAAAATTGGTACCAAGTCAATACAAACATTTTATAAATGATATAATGATACCAGTTTGCAGTAAAGTTCTAATTGGTACACATGTAGGCTATTGGTTGAACAGAAAATATGTCATAATATTGTTATTATTAACAAGTATTATTGTTAACTAGCTAAAAAAAATAAAAATCACTCAGGGCTCACTCAACATTAAGGATTTTTTTTCTACTGGCCTGGTTGGGCCAGGAGATCAGATATTTTACTTGCCCTGCCAAAACATTCACTAACCGTGCCTAAATAAATAAGTAAAGTTATTGCTTTCATTATTTTTGACCTATGTAACCTTACAATACAAAACGTTTGGATACCAGTGGAATTCCACAGTTCTCGACTCCTGTTTACGATAAAAGCAAATAATAATACTAGCCTAGCTAATATAAAGTTCAATTATTAAAGGCAAGTAAGCAGTCAATAATAAAATACACCAAATAACTAAATATAAACAATAGCACAAATAAATACAATAGAACAAAGATACAAATTAAATAAATAAAGTAATTAAATAAACAGTACTTTAGAGTGCTTGTGAAAACTGTATTACTGTATGAAGTAAATACACAAACACCTGTTAAAGCTACAGAAGTTGTTTAGTTAATAGCAATGAGTATTCCTCTCTTTTTCTTTTGTTAATTGATTAACATTATTAACATATTAAACAGAAGGTATATGTGGTTGCTGTCACTTTAAGATCTAATCCACAGATTTGTTTATATTGACACACATCCAATATTTTCTTAACTGTTTACATTCACTTAAGACATAGCCAAATGTGTTCACACTGATATTCATTAAGATGGGCATTTGGACATATAATTCTGTGTGTATTTGCTCAAGAAGAGAACTTAATTTGGTGCTCGCATCCAGTCTGAGAGGTGGCTTTATATGCACACACAGAAACAATTTGTCACAGTGTGCGAGTACCGCATTGAGTTCCCCTTCAGGAACTCACGCTGCGTCGGAGAACGCTTTGTGAACATCCCTGTGTTCCCACGCTCTGAAACATGTGTGTAATCCGTCCTAGGGAATCCCGGGTGACGTCACCGTGATTTAGCGACCAGGAAGTATAAAAGCACGTGTGGTGGAGACAGCGGCAGCTTCTGTTGTTCAGTAAGCGATCTATATGTGTCACGTCATATTTATTGTTGTACGTCCTTTTCATAGTACTAAGCAATACAATGGCAAAATCTGGCAAGAATGTTGAGTCTGCCAAGCAACGTTTCAGGCTGTGTGTTCCTCCCTGCCCTCGTTTCATTACGGGTGGGGATACACACAATTTGTGCCTTGCTTGTTTGGGAGCAGAGCACACTCGGTCAGCTCTCGAGGGAGCTGACTGTCCGCATTGTGTTTGTCTCTCGATGTGGACGCTCCGCTCCCGAAGAGCACTGTTTGAGGAGGGTGCTCTCACCAGCGTTCACCGTGGTTTGGGTCCCGCCTCTGCCACGGCAGAGCGGCGCCTTAAATTGTGGGGTTCGCCGATGGATCTGGCAGAAGGAATGAAGACGGGCACGTCCTTTTCTTCTTCTTCACCTGCCAGATCTAGCGCTCACTCTCAGGGGACGGAAGCACGTTATGAAACTGTTTCTTCCGCCCTGGGAGAGGGCTCGGCGCTCGTGTAATCTTCCTCTGAGGAGTGGGGTGATGCGAGCGCCGAACGAGACGAGTCTGTGGACTTACCACCATAGTCTGCCTTGTTTGAGGGCAGCCCTGTTGGCCATGGGAAAACATCTGTGGCTGACCCTGTCCCAGTTAAACGATAATTACAGGGTCTTTCTCCTGCATGCCCCGCTATTGCCTTCTGGACTGTACGGCGACGCTGTAAACACAGTCGTCGACAGGTTCCAGGAGGCCAAGAAACAAGCATTCCAGCGATTTCTCCCTCGCCGCTCTCATGGGGCTGATAAGCGGGATCAGCCCCAGCCGTGTACCAGCTCCTCTCACAGTGAAGTTCAAAAACGGAGCGTTGCCACTCGCACTCCCCAGCAGAAAGAAAAGCAGGAGGGGTGGCGGCGCTCCAGGTCGAAGTCCTCGAAAGAGATGACGGGTCTGAGGACCGTCATTTTCAATAAGAAGGCTTCGGCCAAGAGGTCCTGACATAAGGGTGTCAGGACATCTGAGGGCAGGCCCCTCTGGGGAAGAGCGGTTTACACCTCAGCATACGGTGCCCATCTCTCCTCAGTGTCCTCAGGAGATTGTTCCGTTAACCCTGCCACCCCCTGTGCTTCAGGGCACATCGATCTCCAGAGTGTATCTCTCAGCTTCTGTCCGGAAACGTAGCGGTCCTGAAAGGCTCGCTACCTCCAAGGAGGTCACTAGAGCAGCTAGATCGGCCGTCTCCTGCCGGTCCTCCGCTTCAGGGCCCTGAGCTAGCAGCTCTAAATACACCAGAGGCCCGTCTCGAGAGACTGGTTCCCTTAGTACATCATCTGGCAGCATGGAAGCTTCTGCCAAATGTGTCTCATTGGGTCCTGCACACTGTAGAAAGAGGCTACAAGATTCATAAAAAGCTGTCCGCTGCCCGCCTCTTCAATCCCGATGTTTCCCATTATGCTAATGTGATAGGGCTGAATGAGTGCGGTTATGCGGTTATCACGATCAAACAGGTCGTGTCTCAAATCAGGTCCGAGGACTGGTTTGTGACGATAGATCTGAAGGACGCATACTTCCATATATCCATCCTTCCTCAATACAGGAAGTTCCTGAGGTTTGCTTTCAGGGGCAAAGCGTACCAATATTGGTTTCTTCCGTTCAGTCTGGCACGCTCACCCTGCACTTTCACCAAGTGTGTGGATGCTGCTCCGGCTTCTCTGCGACTCCAGGGCATTCGCATACTTAATTACATCGACGATTGGTTGATACTAGCTCAATCAGAGCAGATAGCGGTTCTGGATCGAGATGTCGTTCTCTCTCACATGAAAGAGTTGGGGTTAAGACTAAACGCAAAGAAAAGTGTGTTTCTCCACTACAGAGGACCACTTAACTGGGCGTAGTGTGGGATTCGACCACGATGCAGGCACGTCTGTCTCCTGCTCATATCGAGTCAATCCTCACGGCAGTCAAGAGAGTGAGAGAAGGCCAGTCACTCACTGTGAAGCAGTTCCAGAAACTGCTGGGTCTGATGGCAGCTACGTCCATAGAGATACCTTTTTGCCTACTGTACATCCAACGTGATACCTTTTGGCCTGCTGTACATGAGACCCTTGCAGTGGTGGCTCAGGACCAAAGGGTTTTCCCCAAGGGGTAACCCGCTTTGCATGATCAAGATCACGCGGCGATGCTTACATGCCTTAGATATGTGGAAGAAACCTTGGTTCCTGTCACAAGGCCCCGTGTTGGGGGCTCCATGTTGTCACGTAACGCTAACGACGAACGCCTCCCTCACAGGCTGGGGAGCAGTCATGAGTGGCCGCTCCGCCCAGGGTCTGTGGGAAAGTCCCCATCTCATGTGGCACATCAACTGCCTGGAGATGCTGGCCGTGTTTCGAGCATTGAAGCAATTTCTCCCAGACCTGAGAGGCCATCATGTGCTTGTTCGCACAGACAAAACTTCGGTGGTCTCTCACATCAACTGTACAAGTGTACATCCCTGGGCACCTCAGTCAGGGATCAGACATCCTGTCGAGGCAGGGGCTGAGGCCCGAGGAATGGAAGCTCCACACCGAGGTGGTGCAGCAGATTTGGAAGAAGTTCGGTCGAGCCCAGGTAGACTTGTTTGCATCTCGAGATACCTCACAATGTCCCCTGTGGTTCTCCCTCACGCATCCAGCTCCACTGGGGCTGGATGCTATGGTACAGAAGTGGCCGAGGCTTCGTCTGTATGCCTTCCCCCTGATTGCTTTGCTCCCGGGAGTTCTGGAAAGAGTATATTAGATCTCATATTAGTAGCCCCGTACCGGTGGGGCCGGCCATGGTTTGCGGATCTGGTAGCCTTACTCGAAGACTCTCCATGGGAGATTCCCGTTTGGTGGGATCTCCTCTCTCAGTTGGGGGGGCACCATCTTTCTCCCCCGCCCGGAGTTGTGGAAGCTTTGGGTGTGGCCCCTGAGGGGGCACAGCTCACAGCATCCGGTCTCTCAACTGAGGTTGTTGAGACCATCCTCCAGTCCAGAGCTCCCACTACGAGGAAATCGTACGCTGCTAAGTGGCATTTATTCACTTCATGGTGTGACAGCCTTCAGTTAGACCCAGTTAATTGCCCTGTTGGGCCAGTGCTGGAATTTCTGCAAGAGAGATTTGCCACAGGGTTATCCTCCTCCACTTTAAATGTCGACGTGGCTGCTATTGCTGCTCATCACGCTCATGTGGGTGAGCAGTTTCTGGGGAGGAACCCGTTAGTGACACGTTTCCTCCGGGGTACCAAGAGGCTGAGGTAACTAGGGTTACATACGTAACCTTGGACGTTCTCTTTCATGCCGTCTTGTGCTTGAATGGCTTAAATTACTAGAATGTTTAAAATGACAAGACTTAAAAACTTGAATATGATAAACTTTTTTTTAAGAGGCAGCACTGGCCTGATCATTCAGATAGGTGATTATAGTTTTAGACAGACAGGGGGGTCAAAGCCCCTCTAAAAGAGGATCTAGAACCATTCCGCCCCTTCCAGTGTTTGATTTTCAGTTTTATTTAATTTTTGCTTTTTTCCCCCTTTCATTATTGCTATATATGTTATAAACAGATAACTCCATTTTACTTTACATCCTGCCTAACAACAACACATAATTTGGAATTACTTTAGTTCACAATAACTGTTATATGCAGATTTATCTTTGTTATTACTTGATTATCTTACTTTGTGGGCTAAATCAACTTCTCATCATGTCTCTCTTTGGGCAGATTTGGGTTGGGTGCGCACACGGTGAATCTGGTCTATCAGGGTTCGCTGCTGTCTACCCTGGAGGAGGTTCTGCTGGTGCTGCTGGGCCCCCTGACCTTGAATGCAGCTACGCTACTGCTGCTCCTGATCAGATGGGGCTGTCAGCTAGTGTTTGGCTCACCGCTCTCTTCCTGTCAAAGTTTATCATGGCTGCGGTGGTGTGGACAGTGCTGGACCCTCTGGCGGTCTTCGCTGTGGATGCCATCCTGGGGGTAAGTCACTTAAAATAACGTGGACACTTCTGCACTGTAAATAGAAGTTTCACATTATCTTAGCAAAGTCACTTTACAAATAAAACTGAATGTGAGGGCAAGGATGGGATAGACAGACTGTAGAGAGAAAAGATTATTCAGGGTTATAGGTGTATTTTTGGTTGAACGGCGTTTACATATTATAATACACTGTACATTCAGAAGTGTAGAGACATAAAGATCATCATTCATAGGATCTATTCTGAAATAGATTTCAGAATATAATAGTATGATTATATAGACAAATGCTGAATAATAAAATATGGATTAAAAACTAACACGTGGCATGACAATTTTATACAAAAAAAAAAAAAAAAATATATATATATATATATATATTTTATTTTATTTTTTATTTATTTTTATTTTTTTTTTCCTGCACTCCTGCATCCAAGCAATAAATGATGTCTATCTTCGGAAATGGAATTTCACAATAAGAACCAAAATGCAGTTTTCTCTTTGCCGTTGTTTTTGCTGTTAACTTAAGAGTTTGTGTGTGACCTTCCTGGTGGAAGTGTCAAAAGTGTCAAAACACTGCAGTCCACACGATTCAGAGTCTGAGATTATAGCAGTGTATTTTTGGACAGGGAACCCCTGAGGGACATCCAGCCAATGAAGTCCTGTCCACCAGCACATAAGCACCATAAACAGGCCCTATCAAGTGCTTTCTGCTCATTATCATCATCTGACAGCCAAGTGTTGATATAATGCAATTTGATTTAATACTCTCATGAAATTAAAGAATGAATAATCAGAGAAATTACATGAAGATGAGCTGAAATCACCTTCACAGGGTTAATATGCATTACAGACATAATGAACATTGGAGTTTATGATTATATTGCCAGGAACTAAATTGTGATGTGTTTTGGAACAATGTCCACTAAGGATCATGCACAATTATAATACAAAAAAAATGTTCAAATTGCTGGTACTGGGCAAGAGCATGTTGCACAAAATAATTTTAACGAAAATGGAAAACCGTTGATTTTGGACCAAAAAGTCATGAAATGCATGTGTCAGACATAGTTATGGAATCGACTGTTTATGGATTTATTTTCATGTACCATCCCTGTTTTGAATATTTAGGTATATAATCACACAGACTGTAGCTTTAAGAACTGGAATTAAAACAAAGGACCCAAAACTGTAACAAGCTGATTTTTCACTAATCAGTGTAGGATGGTATCAGAGAAAGAGCTTTCACCTTATTTCTCAATGGCTGGGTTTTTATCCCACTCTGGATGGACGATATTAGGTGTCAGCCGTAGAGGCGGGTGATATCTCATGCCAGTGCACGGCTCTAGGATGGCAAGGTTGGTGCGGGTAATGTGGGTTAAAGCTGAAGAGTGGCTGTGCTGTGTGAATGTAGGCCAGCAGTCTGATTGTGAGTAGGCTTGTGCATTTTTATGGGTTATCTGCATCTATTCACTGTGTGGAGAGAAGCACTGACATAGTGCCTGACCTATTTCTAAAATAATGCCTGAGGCTACACGTATAGATAGAATGAACTGTTATCCGTTTTTAATTACATTTTAGCAAGCAAAATTGTTCACTCCCTGCAAAGCAGAAAAAAGCATGTTGTGCATTTTTTTTTATTCTGTTTGTCGGAAAATATATAAACACAATCAGACATTTGATGTGGGACCATTGGTGAACATGTTATTTTGAAATAAATGTGACTAGTGGCACAACTGAAGTGTCTGTTTTAAAGCAGTGAACAGTGAATGAACTGTTCTCCTCTTCAACATCTGGTTGGTTGAGAGGCTTTCGGGCTGAAAGTCTCATTGGTTGAGAGGTAGATTGATACAAGAATGTTCTAGATCTCCTGGGTCTTTGTTTGATTCCTGATGCCTACATTTCTTTGTGTTGAAATTTTGTCAGGAATATTTTGTTATAGACAATTTCAAATGGTTAATGGTAGGATCGTTCAGTCCTGCTTCTACCTTCAGAGTTCGGTATCTAAAACACTTTAAAGCAGGATTGGAACTGAACTCTGTGGAGTCGATCTCCAGGAGCAGGACTGAGCACCACTGGTTTATGGGGGTGTCTTGGTTTCTCATTCCTAGCATTATCTAACATCGGAACAGTCCTTTAACTGTTAGCTAGATGAAACAACTGGATGAAGCCCACATTCTCAGGACATTATTGGACTGTTTGTACGCCTGTCATTAATATGTATTTGGATGTCTTAAGTTATAATAGAGATGAAGACATGAAATGTACTTATAACTGTTATTGCTGGATGTTAGCAGGCTCTACTGATAATGGTCCAGTGCCATTAAGATCACACTGACTACACACAATCACCCTCATACGAACTCAAAATGTGTCTTATAGGATGTGCCTCCTTTTGGAGTGTTGTCACCCTTTGACACAGTGTTGTTGTCTCAGGCCCAGGCTCACATTTTGAGCAGGTGGTTAAGAGAAGAGCTGCAGAGTTCTGCTGAAAGCATATGATTAGGTGCACCTGAAGCTATGTCCAGACAGCACATCTGGAAATGTTTGATGAATAGCAATGGACAATTCTCACTTTAATTTGTTTGGAATCCAGATTTGGGCCTAGAGTGGCCATGGAGTGTCCACAGTGGAGGTTTAGGACAGCCTTCCATACTCATACTCAAGACTAAAAAGAGAACACAAGCAGGTATGTCCCTTGGAGTCCTTCTGGTTGAGGCTGTCAATTTTTTTTTTTCCTGCAAGGCAATGAACATGCTTATTGAGTAATCATAGGGTTTACTGGAATAACCTTTCAGGGAATGACAAAGTTGGAGACATCTCTGGTTCTGAAATTGAGTAGAAGGGTCATCATCATAGGCCTGCTATGACCATCCCAGAATCACACTGTTAGAGAATTAAGAACTTCTACAATTAGTTATTACTGCAAGCATATTAAGGCATGACACACTAAGTTGACCTCTGTCCAAATTCGGGCTGTCGTCTGTCAGGTCAGTTTTTGCTGTATGTTTCGCAGAATTCGCAACATCAACACTAGTCAGATCCTGTCTGCGGCTTTTTAGCCGATTGAACATGTTGAATCGGCGTGAGGAAGTCAGTGAGAGAGATCACTCTCAGCCTTTATGTTACCATCTCTTCTACGAAAGATCAGGAAGTCTTCTGAAAACAATCTTCTTGCAACCTTCTTGCTTTAATAAATATAATGTTAATAAAACATACAAACATACTAAAGTATGATTGCTAATGCAAGTGCAAATGGTGTTCTTAATTCCCTCAGCCTGGAATTTGTGTAAACATGAAATTAAACTTGAATTTACATTTGACTAATTGCCTCCTCATCAGTATTGCCAACTTAGTTAGTTTGTTACTTATATTATAATAATGATTATTATTATGTGTGTGATGAACACACACACACCGTGAATACACACCCGGAGCAGTGGGCAGCTATGTGTTGCGGCGCCCAGGAAGCAGTTGGGGGTTCGGTGCCTTGCTCAAAGGTCTCACCTCAGTCGTGGTATTGAAGGTGGAAGAGAGTGCTGGTCATTCACTCCCCCCACCTACAATCCCTGCTGGACCTGAGATTCGAGCCCATGACCTTTGGGTTACAAGTCCGACTCTCTAATCATTAGGCCACCACTGCACCTTTAGCAACTTTTTTTTTACTCCATAGAAGCCGACTGTGTTGACTGTGCCAGACAGCTAGGCCAAAATGTTGTGCTTGAACACCCAGCAAAGGCTACTGCTAATGGTCAACTAGCCATTGATGTGAGAGGGAATAACTGAAACAAGTCCAGGACCTTCTTGGACAAACCTTATTTAGTTTCTGTGACTTGTTGGTACTTCCCCGCGAGCCCGAGGTCGGTTCAGTGAGTGGCTGAGAGGAACAACGCATTCAATTAAGGCTGTGCGCTGTGTCAGTGAAAAAAAAAAAAAAAACGTTGCTGCTTCCAAAATAGTACAGCACAGTATTTGTCTTATGTGTATGGTGATTTGTCAGATTTCTTGAATATAAATTAGTATTTTAGTGTAGAGAAGTAGTCTGGATTCCAGTCACTATTTCATATTCATCCCATTTTCTGAGAACAGAAACATACATATTTATGAATGAAAACAGTTTTATTGGGAATTTGGTTGTATTAAAATACAGTATGTCACCACAGAGAGTAGGGGAGAAGCAAACAAATATAAAGTGCTGACAGTAGGCAGAATGTAAATACAACGTAACAATGTCCTGAATGTGCTAATTAGCGTATGACGCAACATTTAATAACTTTTTATGCAGGCTTTAGCTACTTTCCATTGAAAGTAGTTGGCATGTAGTTGGCCTCATTTCAGAAGACCTGGTGACCCTCCACTGGTGCCCAGGTCCCCTTGAAACATGCCTGGGCTGCCACCAACACAATGATCACCTGACCCCATGACTATGAATCAACTGTCCCTCTGCATAGCCTTACCGTGACTTCCTCAACAAGGAAAAAAAAAGTTAGTCATCTTAGTCACCTTAGCCAATTATTGATTTGTATCTTTATTTCAAATACTGAAGTTCATTATGATTCTACATTATATTTTATTATATAGTTTATTATAAAACCCTGACATACAGTAAGACATATCAATTTAAAGTGGAAATAAGATTTTGAATGCATGTTAGTTTACATTAATATGCGTACTAAGCATATAATAGAATACTGACAGTACTCTGTACTCTAACAGTATTTTTCATTTTGATCATAAATTAATGGGTGTTCGTCATATATTCATGCATGCTTATGTCAAGTTATTATTATTATTATTATTATTATTTTCTGGAGTGCTCATTACCCTTTTGAGCGAGAATAATCTATTTTCCGTGGTAGAGGGTCAAGGTGTTTTGAAGAGAAGCCGATCTGTGTGTTTTCACGGCTGTTGTTTCATGCGCTGACTATGAGCGATGTCTAAGGAGGTGCCACCTGAAGACACAATATCAGTAACCACACTGTAGTGGTCATAGGACTCACAACTTCCTCACCAGACAGAGATTCAGATACCTCTATAAGCTCAGCTTCTTTGAAGAACATTAGGATCTAAGTATGATCTGAAGAGACAGCCTTCCCACAAAAACACAAGCAAACAAGCCTCCTACACTACCGTATGATTTTAGAATCCAACATTCAATGCACCTTCTCTATGATGAGTGAAAGAGGAGGCTTTATTTGATATGCTTCAGAAGCTTAAGACCCACTAGAGGTCCAAGATGTCTGTTCATTCCAGCTTTTACTTGAGTAGAATGTAGGGGAGAAGAAAATACCAGAATTAGTTAACAAATGTGTCAAACCTTTTCAGTTATGTGATCCTTCTGTCGTAGACTAGAGTCGCTTCTGTTCTGCCGGTTGACATTGATGGGTCAGGCCTGCTTTTCTGCCGAGCTGAAGCTCATCAGAATTTCACTCTGTTGGAAAGGTCAGATGAGCTGTTTGTCAGACGTTAACAGCCTTGACAGAAAAATGACCAGGATGTGACAAGGTGGCATAAAACCCATTTGAACTCTGAACTTCTCTCCTGCAACTTTGTGACAAACCAAGAAATAGTTTACTGATCATCAGTTCATCTTAACATGCCCTCCATGTCATTGAAACCCCTTAATAGTTGCTAAATTCTAACATTATGTGAGGAACAGATGGAAAATTATGTTGATATTCATTGGGGTCTCTCAAATATCATTCAAACTAGTGTTCATTTAAAAAAAAAGTAAACTTTAAGAGCAGAAGACCAAGATTAACATCAACAACACCAAATGCCATTGGTTCATGCATGTTATGTTACAAATTAGGATTTAATACATAGTGTGTTTTTGTCTTTTTTTTTTTTTTTTTGAGATTGGTGCTATAAATTCACAATTCTGCTTAACATTTCCTAATATTCTACTTCTTTTGACATACTTCACAATGATGGGAGACTATTGGATATCTACCAGCAGCTCCACAGCACTGAGGGAGCTTTTTTCTTTCCACATGGCATGGAGGCCTCCAACCAGGAGCTCAATTACATTGTGTGTAATTCAATGGAGAGAGACGCAAGGTGAGTCTGATGAAGTTCTAACCTGTTTATAGTGGTAACAACCAGCACTGAACACTGGTCGAGAGAGAATATCTTCTTGCATCAAGGTGATCCAGCTGCCATGGGCTGCATTGCCACATAACGCTTGACTGTTGCAAAGCTCTACTCAAGTCTCAGGCGCTTAATTGGATTAATGGTCGTTTTAAAGGAGATGGGCAAAATGCTAGTTGATACTAATCCATCAGATTGCCTCTGCAAAAGATTTATGTCTGTCTGATGGCTCATAGCATTTGTGAGTAAGAAAGCCTTTGCGATGTTTTTCAGAAATGGACTGTCACATTGAACTGTTCACTGAGCTTTCTAATATGCATTATAATTAACATAAAATGGAATCAAAGGATATAACATTATTATTTCAAATCATTCTGTTTTCTTTAGTTACATTTATGAATGCCAAAAATTTGTCACAGAGGTTTTTAGCTAGTCTAATTAGTTGGTGGGCTAATTATCCAAAAAGGAATTTGACTTGATTAATCCACGGAAATCAATTTCCAGCAATATTTCATTAAGAATAAAGACCGCTCAATCAACATTGGCATGCATGAAGACACACACACACACACACACACACACTCTGAGTTCACAACTTGGGTGGCAACTCCTCTTTTAGTGCTCTTGATGAAGAAATTTTATTGGCTGTCAAACAAGTCATTAAAAAGAAATTCTGCAATTCCTAGCTCAAATCGTAGACCTTTGCAAATCATGTTATTTTTGCAGCCCTTTGCAATGACCTTGTTTATGTTTTAGATTCAAAAATTACTGCTACAGCTGTGGAAATTTTAGTAATGAAGGTGCTACTAATTGGATTCAGTTGTTTAGATTGAAATTAAGAAAAAAGCTAACTTTTAGCAAACACACTTGCAGATTTTTTTTCAACAAGAATGGTCTCTATTCTAGAACTGCAGTCATAACCTCCTCTCTCATATTGGCCCTAATTTGCCATTATTGAACTGATAAAATGCTAACGCATTAAACACATTTGCCAGCATGATGCAAATGTAGGATTATTGCATTTCACAATTTTTACATTATTCAGGCTGACAATTTTTCATTTAAATAAGACGGTCTAGGCCATTATTTCATAATTATTGTGGCAATGTCTCTATGCAAAAAGGGTCACTTTCCCAACTCAGCAAAGACATATCCCTATTAAGCTAATTTGCCTACATGCAAATTTTTGTCATTTGTCCCTCATTAACTATTTATCAACACAGTAGAAACATATATGTTGGAGGGGAGAGAGCAGCCAGACAGTGCTGAAACTAATATTTTGCAACTCTAATGATTTTTTGCATCCTTAATTAGATAGAATATGCTTGATATGATTAGGTCAGTATGTAGTAGTTTTCATTAAAAATAGATTTCAGAAACTGTATTCCAAATGTTCATTCACAATTAAATAATGAATCCGGCACATTACTTATTATGGACCCAATTAATATCACGGAAAGACGTGTGATTTTAATAACAAGAGGCCATGAGGCCTTCATTAGCAGAGAATGAGGGTGGAGAGAGCGTAGAAAACATTTACAGGTACAGATAGAGCCACCGGATGCTTGGGAACTTTAGAAAGTTTTAGCAGATTGTATGAATGCCTGTGGCCAATGCATGCGCTGATCATTTTAAATGAATATTACAGTGTTGCAGAGACTGACATGCTTTGTCTTGGCCTCAGCTCAGGGTTTCCAACAGCCCTGAGGGAATCATTATTAAATATCATCAAATATCAACTAAATATCATCATTGGAATAAATGTAATTTATTATCATTAAAAAATCAGTTTGTTTTATGTATTGCGACTATTTGATAGCATTTAAAACTTCAAAAAGCGACAGCAGTGTTTTTCTAATGTTTGTACAATTGTTATACATGTTACACATATAACTTTTTTTTCAGATTACAGAATAATTTAAATGAACAGCAAAATAAATAAATAAATAAATAAAAGTCACTAGCAGATATACTTGGTTTTTACTCGGACACTAACGTAAAATAAACATTCAGTATACTTTGATTTATTTTTTTTTACCTAAAATCAGTGTCCATGTAATATGAAGCACATTTTTCTTTATAGAATAAAGAAACCGTTCTGAAAGTAAAACTGTTATGGGTAATTCATCATTAATGTAAGTTTCTTCTTCCAAGCACTACGATAAAACAACCTACAATAAATAATTTTGCACGTGGCCTGGTTTTATCGTTATCAAATTTTGTATGTTTCATGGGTGATCATAAAAAACTAATCTGATTTTTTGCTCTTTAATTAACTTCATATTATGGCTTATTTTCTTCTAGGCCATGTGATCAGCATTATTACATTATTAACACGTACTGAATACTAGCATTCAGCGGCCACTGAATAAAAATAAGCACTTGCATTTAAAAAAGCACATTCAGTATGGTTGGCTACATCGTATGTTGTGGGTCTTTTTCTGAGAAACATTTCTATGAAGGTGATTACACCCGCATAGACTTTATGTTCTAACTGTTCTCCTATAGAGTGTATGTCTAGCGAAGGGGCCTACAGTCAAAATGTGCAGATAATGAGCTCATTAATTATGTATAGGCACTGCTGCAGATGGACCTCATTAATTGCATGCCGTCACCTTCTTGATTACTGTACCTGGAAGGGAGGTGCTAATGTCTGCCATGCTTAAGCAGGTAACGCAAACTGTTTTGTCACCGGCTGTGTGACAGTGACAGAGGAGTCCGGTGTCGCCGTAATCTTCACCGTAATTCACCAGAACGTTACGCTAATGGCTGCTGATAGCCCTGGAGATGTTTTTGCTACTGAATCGCATCGAGATTTGCGCTCTGTCATGCTATTTGTCTCCACATGTCTCAGTAATGTCTTTCCACGGGCTGAATTTAGGGAACACCCTTGGTGCTTTGCAAAACAACTGACAGGGGGCCAAACCTGTCGCAGGATGGAGAACACACACATTGAAGATCTAACGACAAGCAGATTGTCCTTCTCTTCCTGTGTGCCCCCACCACTCATCTCTCTGTCTCTCCATCTATAATTATTAAGACAGAGTTACTTGGGACCTTTTCATGCTGTTGCTTTAGTCCAACTCTGTGACAGAAAATTAATAAAATTACTTGCTCCAAACTTGCTCGCTCTGCAGTTGCCTTTGTTCAAATAAATATTGCTAAATATTATTATTAAAGATAATATATTATTAAAAATAATATTACATATACATATTATGAAATATTATCACCTATATGTAATATTTAAGAGACAGAAAACCCAGATAACATCATATTTATTATTTAGCTTTTATTCAAATATTTCTTTCTGCATGTAAATTTGATTAAGAAATAGGCAATTCACACACAATTATGTATTTATTGCCATCACAGGAATAAAATATATTTTCAGTGTATTTCAATATAACTGTTAAACTGTTAAATTGTGTTGTATTTTTGATATGACAGAAACAACTACATGCAGCCTTACAAAGACTACTTTTAAAAACAATGACAAATTCTTACTGACCCCAAACATTTAAACAATAATCTATATTTCAGTATTACAATTTAAAAGCACTGTATTACTAAATTGCTGCAAATTTAATACAAATCCATTTACTAAAAATGTAAAACTTCCATATGCATTACAGTAAGCAGAATTTTGAAGATTATTTTGAGTACTTCAGTGTCACTGTTAAATTATCCTGCATTTCCTAGGAATCATACTCAAGACCTTGACATCGCTAGCACAATGGTTTAATAAATGTAATAAATTAGTGAATGAATCATTTGTTTTACATTTTTTAAATATATTCAGCTTAGTCGCATACACAATTTATGGCTTTTCCTAAAATCTATCAGCTTTAGTTCTCACCTAAAAAAGCTGACTAGCGGGCCATGACCGGCAAGCTCCGGAGACACTGTCAGGCAACAATGGGCCTGAAAAAGCCCTGGAAAAGCACCCAAAACAGGAACATAAACACTGGAACGAAGGGGGAAGCTGTCCAGAATCTGCCCAGATATGGGAAGGGTCACAGGAAGGCACCTGCAGCCCTACCCCCTATACTCTGCTGGCCTGTTTGCTTGCATTAGTTCTAAAAGCCGCTTCTTCAATTACAGGAGGCTATTAGTGGACAGTGCACATAGGCTGCAGGGCCCCGGGCTACAGCGGCACAGCCACACAATAGAGCTCAATATGACATGACTGCAGAGGGGACACGCCTGCCATGCAGAAAAGGTCAACGGCTTTTGGTGGGCAGCAATGTGTGAAAATGTTGCAGTCACACAATGGTTTGGGAGGAGAGAGATACTAGTCTGGATTTGCGTGGAAGACACTCGGATTGTTCTTGGCTAATTTATTGTTTTGCTGTGTTTATTTAGCTTGTATCACATTTAACGCTTTTTTTATGGTCACGCTTAAGTCAGGATTCTACGATGGATGGGTAATCAGTAAAAATGCAATCTTAGCAAGTGAGCAAGAGTTTGTTCACTCACATGCTCTGAAAACATGGCAGCACTATGATTGTTTTTATACAGCGCTTGTTTTCCACATAACTGGCTGGACGTTGGTTCTATCAGAGATGGATGTTTCTTTTAATTTTATCCGAACATATTGCACACGGTCAGCTGTCAAAACAATTGCAGCTGGGAGTTTGAAATTGAGTCCACATGTTTAAACTCATATAGATTCTGTAATCTCTCTCTCTCTCTCGTTCGCTCATAATGTAAAACAGAAGGAACAAATTGGTTGGTCAGTAAGTCAGTGAACATTGTTTAACGATGCAGCACAACAGGGATTTTTGAGAATATCAGGTTTTTAATATCATTTTATCCCACCGTGACCAAACAAAATTAATTTGTTTTCAGGCAACAACTTCAACTGATTGTATCTCCGATGCAACAGAGCCCGAGGTATTGTATTGCTAAAACAACAGTCAAT